AATGGGGATTTCACTCAAACTCAGTACTTTATGAGCGCACCCGCAGCAAACGGCCTTAAGAATATCAAGTGCACACAGGTTGTTAGCCAAGTGTTTAATGGTGCATAGTTCGAAGTGTTTATTTATGTATAGCAGCAGATTTAATAAGAAAATTAAGAAAAGTTTATTTTAGTGGGTGTATATATGTACATATCTTCTATATGTAAAAATCTTCTCATTACGCGGAGTGGTTGTAAAGAAATTATCATTTGCTTATTGGGGACAAAGTAACAACTCATTTAAGTCATTTAATGTCGACAGAGAAGATTGTCTTCAAGATCGTATATTCAGTGGTAATTATTAGAAAATTTTCGACACCTCACAAATGCTTTGCAGTAGTTGAAGTTTGAGGTATAGTTAATTAACATAACAGTACACAAATAAAAAACTTTATTTCGATTGATCGGTTTGTATGGCAGCTATATGCCATAGTTGTCCGATCTGAACAATTTCTTCGGAGATTACATTATTGCTTCAGGCAATAATCCTCCCATAATTTCGTGCAGATATCTTGTGAAATAAAAGAGTTTTCCATACAAGGACTTTACTCCGATCGTTCAGTTTGTATGACAGTTATATGTTATAGTGGTCCGATATCGGTGCTTCCGAAAAATGAGCAGTTTCTTGAAGAGAAAAGAACATATGAAAAATGTTTGATCGATTTTTCAAACACTGAGGTACAAACAGACAGACGGATAGATTGATAGACGGACAGACAAATAGACATAGCTAAATCGACTCAGCTCGTGACGCCGTTCATTTGGATATATATTTAAAGGGTCTCCGGCAATTCCTTCTAGGTGTGAATCAAGAATTGTGGCAAACTTAATAAATCCTATTCAGGGTATAAATATAATAAGATCGGTACTTATTAAACTCTTGTGTACAAAAATGCATATTAGTAACTATGTTGGTAGTGTTGATAGTAAAGCAAAACGTAACAACAAAATTTTTTTACTTACATAAATAACGTTAATATTTTTATATATTTTTCCAAAACATTTTATACCTCGTTCCGCATTTAATCCATTAAACTAGTGCACCATAAGTGCCAAGTTACTAAATGTGGCAAGGTGAAGTATTTTTTATCAACAAACGAACTGCAACAAAGTTCATATGCGAGTATCACAAGTAAAAAGTGGTAAATCATAAAGATAAACAAAGGAATTGAAGATGTGTAAAAAATTTGCAAGCATTGTCCAAATGATGACAAAAAAGTGAAAGCCTAAAAGCAGGCTAAAATAATTGCGAACTGACACAGAAAATTCTAAAAGCAAAATCATACAAAAAGTAAAACTGCCAGCCAGTGTTTCAGAATAAACTTACACCGACAAAAAGTAACAACAACTCGACATAGGTTTCAGTGAAAAAAACCAAACGCTATGAGAATTGTATTCCAGTATGCCTATGATAACACTGAGCAAATGTATTGTTGCAGTTATGTAAGCAATGACCAACAAAAACATGCCGCAGGCCAACGCAACAGGACAACAGGACAAAGCTGACACTGACTCTCATATTTTGTGCTTGTTGGGCCAAGTCCAATGGACTCTGAATAAATAACAAGCATGTGCCGTAGTGACAAAAACACAAACAACAAATTCTCAAAACAAAGCGAAAAAGGGGCGCCAACAGGGAAATATTAGAAAAGGGTACAATTTAGAAACATATATACCCGCACACATTAAAGGCATTTATATGACATGTAGGCATTGTATGTAAAGTGAAGAGAAATACATAAGTGGCGTACCCTTGGGGTGTCGAGTTGACGACAGAACCACTCAAGCGGAGCGTGCAACTGAGAGTGAAAGGCTAATGCGAACTTTCCAAAGTTGATAGTGTGTGTAATATTCACACACACGCTTACATGCAACCTTTAAGCGTGTATATTAAAGCTTTTATACACGTGCATGCATAAGCAACAAACTGTAAAATTCTCAGTGAAAACAGGTGTGAGCGACACGTGCGTGCCATAGAAGCGACCAGCAGCGACACAATGACGAAGCAATAAAGCAACAGATCACAAAAGTGCAAAAAATTATAACGGTTACACAAGTATGCGTAATACGTCTGATATTAGAGTAGAGTGTAGTGTGTGTACTAAAAATACAATAAATGCAGAAACAACACCTGAACGCACTTACATATACATATGTATGTTATATCGTCAACGGTAATATCAGCTTCAAACAAAGCAAAACAAAATGTCTAATCGTGTGTTTATAAATGTGGGCAGTTCATCAAAGCGAGCACGCAGCAGATCAATGGGCGTGCTGCAATGAGGCGTAACGAAAGTGTGTCTGTCTCGGCGGAATGATGAGTTAGCACAAACGTGAGGCGATTTGCACGTGCTAACCTGGCAGCATACTTCAGCTTGATTATGTACATATTTGATATTATAAACATGAGTTTGTATATGTATTTGTACGCCGCATGTGTATGGCAACTCTTGTCTTCAGAGCTTTATGTAAAGAGGCGTGCGTTCGCTTATATAAGTAGGTGTGTATGCTGCGGCATAAACTGCTAGGTAATTGAGTAGGCGAACCAGCAATGACTACATAGTTATTAATTTGCATGCTAAATTAAGCTTGAAGTGTTGCTAATGATCTTAAAACAGCCGTGCTGATAAGTGGGGTGCAAAAACGAAATCAGCAGGTGGTAATAATGAGGAAAAGTCTTAAATAAACGAACAACATATAAACGTACATAATAATACTTATATTAGCTAAGGGAAAGAATTATTATTTTGCATAACATTTATAAAGCTAAGGCATGTTAGAGGAACAAATTCCTGCAGTAATACCTGGATAAATTGTAGTTTATTGACAGTGCTGTTAAATGTTAAGTGCACAATAGATTAAATTAAAATAAAAGTGGTGATCGAAAACTTTTAAATTTTTTTTTAGTAAAAACACAAAGTGAATTGAATAATACAAAAATCAAATCAAAAAATATATACAAGTATTATTTCAAACAATTTAAGCAACTTTCGGGACTAATGGGACAATTGGACAACTATCAAAAATATAAAAAGAAATTTCGAAAAGTTCAATAATTAATGTGGAAAAATTTCAATTATTAAAGTGTGGTGAATTCTTGATTGTGAAAAGACGTTCGGTAACCAAGATTGCAAATAATGCATTAAGAAAGTAATTGAATTAACATCTGAATTTAAATTTTTTTATTTTGTAATCTCAAATGCGGGAAATGTAATCCCAAGTACCGGATTTAAATATAAAAATATAAGACTTTAAACCCAAACACGGGATTGAAAAAAAATTGGTAATCCCAAAAACCTTATTTCAAATTTAGTTTTAATTTTTAATCACAAATACCGGACTGAAAAATAAAAAAAATTTAATCCTCAGCACACTTCTGCTAATTTATGCTACTGCTCTCACAGAGCCATCATCTACAATACTCTAGACTACTGCTCGAAAAACTTACATTTTTAAATTAAAAAATAGAATTTAAAAATTTTTAATTCCACTGCTTGGGATAGATCAAAATTTAATTTTTAAAAATTAATAAAAAAAAAATGTGACTTAAAAAATTTGCAACCCTGTCGGTAAGAAAGTTTTGCACATAAATTGTTATGTAAAAACGAAGACCGATTCGGAAAAGCCTATAAAAGTGTTAGGCCAAATAACATTATAACTACGCCAAGGCTAATACTCCCTTCGTCGCTAACGCGGGTATGGTAGCCACTGGTCACCCAAAATTTGTATAATGCACGACAACCGACAAAGATACGGAATTACGAGGCGACATTTTTTATGTAACATTTCCATACATTTTTACATTATGGAGAGTTAAAAGCAATTCAACGAACTGCTTAATACGACTTGTATACAGTAACATAGTATGCAAGTTTTGGATAAATATTAATTCGGCTGTCTTTACAGATGATATTTATATATATATATTATATATATGTGTATATTAATATATATATGTATATAGATTTTTGTTTTATTTACAAAGACTTCTATTTGCGTAATTTACGAAAAGTGATCTTAAAGAAAACTTTATCCTCTGAATACTTTAGTAGGAAAACTTATTTTTTAAATAATCAATGAAATCCATTCATACTTTTTTTGTTGAAAAAAAAAATTGTATGAGCCAACAAAGTCAACTGAGCTAGAATGAAACGAATAAGGGTAGTGGTACTAATTTTGCCTAAATTCTGCATTATTTTAAATTGTTAGTTAATAAGAATTTTTTAACATTTTTTTAAAAATTAATATTTTAATAAACTTGACATCTTTCGCGCTGTCGAGTATATGTTACATAACCATACGGTTATTAATAAATCATGATTTATTATTTATTTTAGTTGCACCATTTGAGAAAAAATTTTTTGATATAAACTAGTAAGTAACTAGATGACTTTAGCAAAATTATTAGAACGACATTGTGATTATCTTGTATTCCTTATTCTAATAGTTTCTAACCCTAACTCAAGCACAAATATTTTCGAGGAGATTTTTCTCAAAAATACTAATTGAGTTTCATGTAGCTATCTGTTTTCGACATGGGATTCAATATTATATCCTTTTACTTAGACTAATAAAAAACAAAATAGCAATAATTGCTATAATTTTTTTCGAATGTAAATAAAATAAATTTTCGAATATAATTAAAATAATTTACTATAAAATATAACGTATTCTTTTTCAAAGCGAAAACAACTAGTACATGAACAACTGACTTTCCGCCTCTTGAATGGTTTTAATATAAAATGCTCTTCGTATCGAATTTTTTTATTAAGCAGAAAAATATTTAAATTATATTTTAACCCAATTTTGAGTATTATTACTCTAAATTTTTTGCTGATTATTGACATTATTTTCTCGTTGATATTTATTATTTGTATTTCTTTACAATAGATTGCTCTGAAATCTCCAACAGTGTTCTCTGAAAAGTTAATAAAAAAATAATATAGTATCTATTTTCATCAGTTTACAGGCGCTACAATACCACCAACAAAATTTTCCGAATAAATGCAGATCAAATCTAAGCTGCTTTTCAATTAAATATTAAAGGAGCAACAATAAAAGAAATAACAATAAGCTTTTATACTAACAAAAGCACTCGTGTAACGACAAAAAGAGCGTAAACGAAGTTTAATTCAGCAAAAAAGCACAACTTTACAGATTAGCACCACACAACCGCTCATTATATGCCGGATCAAAATCAACGCCACACTGGCAGGATGACCAATTAGCTTTATTGTTGGTTTAGCGCGTTTATTTTATTTTATTTTTTTCAAGTGTAATTTGATACACAAAAGAAAAGTTAAAATACACAAAAGTGTGAAAGTGTGTGTGCACTGCAATACATACATACATCCATACCGAAGTGTTTCCGGTGAAACGTTATAAAAAGTAATTAGCAAAATCACAAGTGCTGTGCTCAGCAACAACATGGCGAAAAAGTCAAACAATATATTATGTTGCCAGTGAGAACCGACAAAAGATAGTGCAACAAAAAGGTGTAATGTGAAAATCAATTGAAAAGTTTTGTGCAAAAAATTAGATAACTAAAAAATTCAAGAAACACAGTGTAAAAAATAACGCTAAAAGTAGTGAGACCGTTATTTACATTTCTTCATTAAAGTATATACATGCAAGCAACATATTTTGCAACATTGTACGGCAACGTCATCAAAAAGCTACAAAAAATAACAACAAACAGTACGTGTCACCATAAGCACTGTCGCTGTAAGGCTGGAAGACGACTGTGCGACTGCTTCTGTCCTCAGTGTATGTGTGTGTGCTTGCCAAGTAAGGCGCTTGTGCATGTTAGCCCAGCGTATTTGTGTGTGCAGTGTATGTGAAGCGAAAAGTGCAGGAGCAGTGCAGTGAATGTGCATTCAAAATGCTTAAAGGATTAAAAGTTTTCACATTTTTATGGCTGACGCATGCGGCGAGCACTTGGCTGAATTTCACCGGCGTTCAAGCACAACCGTCATCATTAACCGAGAAAATCCCATTAGGTGAGTCGAATGAGTGCACGCTGCGCTTTCTGTGAAAGCATGTGCAATGTAGTTCAGTATGTTTATGTCTTATACGAAAACTTAAAATATATAGCAAATTAAGCTTGCCAACATAATACGGTAAAAGGGTAAAATAATGAAAACTAAATTAAAATTACACATTTCATATTTTTTGCTATTTTCTGCAGCAAAATACAACATTCATATCACAAACCCAATTTCACTCATAATACTATTTGCGCGAATTTCCGCATATCTCTAGAAAATAATACAATATATAGTCTTTTTCAAATTATAACAAAGTTAATTTCATGTGGGGTATACAAAAAGCGACAGTCAGAAATGTTGGTTTCTCCTTCGTCCATTTTACTTTGCTTGCGCTTTTATACATGTGACAGTTCGCTGCCACGCATTTAAAGATAGTGATGAAGTGAACAGACAAGTGCAGCTAGCTTCACTCATATACAGTTGACAACATATACATACGTGTTGTATATTATTATGTTAGTGTTTTCTCTTTGCCGTTTAAATGTTTATACTCTAGCAGCATGTTGTTCAGAGTATAATAGTTTTATTACACTTATAGTTGCAATACTTAAAGCCACTGGATTTATTTAAATCTCGATGAGATGTAATTCGAATGTTCGTTCATTTATTTATCTGTCCGTGAAAATGTTAAACTTAGCAAAAATTTAGCCTTTGTGAGATGAGATTTCAAAAAAAATTTAAATTATATTACATTTTCAAAGCATAGTTTGAAGGGTGAAAAAGTCCGAGTCTAACCACGAGATTTCCGAAAGAATATGTTTTTAAATGAAATCAGCTTATGTGCCTCGAATATATATAACTATGCGCCTCCAGTAAAGAAATACTGAAAAAGGCTTTGTCAAAAGTAGTGCCTCTGATATATTGCAGCCTTCCTACTCTGTATAGTGAATTTGAAAGTCTCTGTAAGTTTAGTTGGGTCTATAAGGTATATGTCATCAATATCAATGAAATAATAATCTCAAAAATTCAGAAAATACATTAAATTAGTCTTATCACACTGACATATTATATATTCAGTATAACGATTTTCTTGGCTTAATTCGACTTTATAACATACATATCGGTTATAGTGCGAAAGAGGTATGTACCTATATCAATAAAATTAAGTGAGCAAATGTTCCAGAAATGGGTAGACAAATTTTTAGAGTTCACTTATGGCCAATATAATAAAATTAAAAGAATGGCTAAACTTATGCGGAACATTTAAATTAATGAGTGGGTTACCACTGTAAAACTTCATGAGAAATTAGCAGGAAGCATGTGGTTTATTGCCAAAAAACGAAAGAAAATAAATCAGTTCACACACTCCCTTATCACACATATACTCAATCTAGTTATTTGACTAACCGGTTTATTTTTTACCTCACATGAGAGTCAAAGTGATTCAACTCTTATTAGTATTAAACGACAATATTGCGATTTGGCACAAAATTTATGAATATCGGTCAAAATATTGATCAAAAATAATTTGATAAATAAAAAATTTCTGCTAATTATAATATGTTTACTTTATAGTAGTTATTTCCGATACCAGTTAAGATGTTTTATTGAAGCTGAATAACAATGTGCTCCAATTAAGCTGCATAACATCGAACGATTTCAAGGAAACAACAGCATCGTTGTTTATTGTGACGGAAACTCGACATATTTCAAATAACTTCAATCCTTACAAATTGTGAAAGTACCTTATAATTGGCTGCATCTGAACTTAGCAGATCCTTACTTGTTTCGTAAAAGTTTCTTTAACTCGTGTTATGTTTGGTTTTTCGTTTTTCTTTTTATATGTTTTCAGTCTCCATAAGTTTACGTCGAGCTTTTGAATCGTTTGATGTACACGCATATAATGTTATTCATATATAAGTATGTATATAGACATAAGTAGCTTACCTTTATGCCATGTGTTTTCCAGTTAATAATTTATTCAATTTGTAGCTAGCACTAAGAATTTTATATCATAGCTACCGAAAGCCAATAGCACTACACTGTTTTGCGATCATATTGAAAATGTTGGGTTTTTCTACATGTATACCTAAATAGAAAATATTAGGTAACTGATAGAGTTCTTCCTATTGTATAAACCTATATTAAATTTAACACACATTAAAGTTCATAAGAATAAGGCTAGTTTTGTTGCCCTAAATATAAGAACGATTTTAAATATATTTATGCCCACGGCTCGTGTGATTGTCAATGATTTTTTAAGATTTGCTCTCGTTCCAGAAAACATGAAAAAATTACAAATGTATTTAAAATGCTATTGTTTAAGGATACATCAAAGTCAACTGAGCGACAAATGTCTATACCATATGTTATTTATATTTCAATAAAATTTCCAGTCAACGATCTTATTTTAAGGATCAGCAGTAATATGCCAACATGTGTGAACCGCATCAACCTCAATACCATTTTTCCATCACTTAAAGGTCCTGTTGGAACCGCACTCCTTTCTCCTCACTATAATTTTATATATTATCTTAAAATGTATCCAGATAATTGCGAAGATAGTCTGACTTGATACTCATATTTTGCCTCCAGTATACAAATTTTTCAGCTTATTTTGCCCAATTTCGTAATAATTTAGTGTTTTATGGTTACCAAGTAAATTTTCAATTACAACACTAAATTTTTTCCAGCTTCACTTTCCGGCCAGGCTGAACTTTGTTATAATCTCTAATTCTTGTATTTGGGGACCATCAAATATTCCAACTTTCAACGTATAATCAACTTCGAAAATTTTCTAAAAATGTAATTAAAATAATATCGCTACACGTCCGATGCTTTGAAAAATGTATCAAATTACTGACTTTAAAATGTATTAAATCACTGAGTTCATTTTGAGAAAATAATGTTGGAGTAGATGCTTCCCTCCCATTCACAACTATTAGTATCTGTATCGATTTCTGGGAATTGGCATTTCTGAGTAGTACATGCGGGTTAACTTTGATTCGTAACCGAGATTGTCATTGAGTAAAACAAAACTGAAACTAATCGTTTTCAAAACTTTTACGGACAAATCATATTTTGATTTTATCCTATATTTAAGTGGGACTAATTAATAGCTAATTGTATTTTTGAGGTTTGTATTGGAGACTAAATTATTTGGTTTGATAATGCATATTAGTTTTACTAGCTTTGAATTCTTAATCCATATACATATAAAAGAGCTGTGGAGTTGGAATTTCCATTTAATTTATAAGCTATTTTAAAGCAATATCATCCCTTTTTCAACAAAAAATTCATTTATGGAAATGTTTTCAGTTTATATTATCCGATAATTACAGTCAAGAAAAGCAAATAGCAGCAGATTTTTTTTTTTTATAATTTTGTATATTTATAATAAGATTTACTAATTTCTCAAAAGCCGTGGATACTTTTTTTAAACCAATCAGATTTGTGTCAATGTTTAGCTAATAAGCCAAGAATTTTCTGGCTTTGTGTAGCCTGTCCACACCAGAGACGCTTTCAAGCGAAAATACAAATTACCATGACATAGGGTGGGGACGGTTGGAGGTTTGAGCACACTGTGTCGGGCTTAAAAATAGGGCAGTGCACAAACGTATACACTTTGGTAGCGCTAATGGCACTCTACTCACTCAGCAATTCCATCCGCATGTACAAAGGTACACAGAAACCACAAGCAATGCATGCTTCCATGAGTTTATTCACTTTAGACAAACACACCCATACTCTATATTCCACGTAGATATAGTGAAAGTGCTTTCATATATTTCTATATAGCATACATATACGTATATTGTATATACATATATATTATACATATGTGCCGACTCTGCCTTTTTCTGCCACCTTGCAACACATTTGTCTCTAGCCACTATAGTAAGTGTATTCATTTCGTAATACATAGTCCAGCATATGCACATTGACATGTGTGTGCAACACCGCCGAAACAAATTTTTATGCACCGCCACAACGATGGTCGTTAGCCAAGCAGCAGTAAAAACCACCACTGCAGTAGCTTTATGCATCTCCAACGTATGTACTTACCTTCCAACTGCAGTGGCAACTAAGCTAACCATGCTCTCTGCCATGGTTGTTTGGCGCTGGTGAAAGGCTGTCCCATAACAATTGCAGCATTAACACTTTTTTATGCAAACGACATTAGCTGCAAAACGGTCGCATTGGCATGAGCTGCAGAGCGAAATTTGCTGATGTGCTGCACTTGGGGTTGACTGCGCTGGTTGACTGCGGAGAATAGTTTGCCATAGCCAGCCTCCGGCGTGTTTTGAAAGAACGCGCTCACCTGTCGTCTGTGGCAGTTTGTCTGCCGTGTTGTTAGTGGTTGCATTACCTCGGCTGCCATTTAGTTCACAAAAGACGGTAGTTGCGCTTTAGTGCTACAAGCATTACAATACATGCATATGTGTCTGTGTGTTTGCGTGTTTTTTGTTAGTAGAAATTTGAGTCGTAAAAATCAACACAAAAGCTCTTTTCACTACGTTTCCGGTTGTTCCATTTATTTTGTATAGAAATTATCGCGCCGGTCAGAGGAAAGGATGTTTTCTATACCAGCATGTTTTGTTGTTTAGCTTGTAACGTAGCAACAATATATGTAGGTATAATATGTAATTTGTGCATATAGGTACATGTTTTGACTACTTCTTATTTAAACTTAACCCCATTTCTTTTAATGTGCAAATTAAGAGGATTACTGATATAATGGAGATTGTTTCATATATATGTACATACATGTTAAACAGAAAATGCAGAGTTCGCTGCTAAATGCCAATAACCTGTTTAAGAGGGAGAAGAGGAATACTAAAAAGTAAATCAACCCTTTAAAAAGAGTCTAAAAGTACCGGAAAGATTTTTGGTTGAATTTTCTTCTTCAATGGAAACATTCATGTTTGTTATACGTATGCTGTTACAAATGTATTACATAAATTCAACATTGTTTCATTTGCACTCAACATATGCATTGAATTTTCATATGG